CCTGGAAGAGTTAACTCCCACATTTGCTCCTCTTCAAAGAGCATGTCATTAATATATGACTGTCGAATGAGTATTCAGTCATTTTAGAGCAGAAGGTGACGCTGCGCCTTGTGTTAGATCCACCGGAGTGAAGGACTCTTAATCAAAAGTACAAATATCAAAGTGGAGAATAGACCAATATCAATACATACTGGAGTTTGAATTGAATGTTTTCAAAGAGTTAGATTTTATCTGGGATTTTACACAACAGAAGTTTGGAGGCGTCGCTCATTCAAACTGGATGAAAAGTGAACTTAGAAGTCTGATTTCTGCCGTCCAGCTGCAACAGAGGGAGCCGTTTGTCACCACATTCACACTCTGAGTCCTGTTTACGCTTCAGATCTGTGAGAGTTTTGGTTTTTGGGCTGAAAACAGAGCGTGTGCGGACCTGGGTCCTGTGTTTGTGGGCTTTCTGCATCCTTTCAGCCGGACTCCGGCCTCCTGATGGAGCTTTTTTCCTCAGAGCTGGTCTTTTTCCTCCTTCAATCTGCATCGTTTTAACCCTGAATGGTGTTTGTGCACGGAGGCGTGTGCACGCGCCTCTGTGTGTGTGTGTGTGTGTGCGTCTTGTTATTGTCCTGGAAGCAGAAACAGAGGTTGATTTAACAGTGACGTCTGACGGAAATGGGGGTAAGGAACCAGTTCAAGACAATTTCCTGGGAATAACAACTTGTGTGAGTGTGTTTGCCGGAGTCTCGGCGGCCCGGCGGCCCGGCGGCCCCGTCCCGCTGCCACGCCACCGTTGTTAAGTCTCCTCTATTCCTTGAGGTACCAATTAAACTGCTAATCCTGCAACCCAGCCACCTTTGTGGGAGTGTTGCCTAATGCCGGCCTGTAAGAGCTCTCAAACCAGCCCAAAGTCCTCATGCACACGCACACACTGTGCCTCTGCCTCTCCACACTCACGGGCTGTTTTCTCTCCTCTTTCACCTCCCTCCATCCCTCCACTCCTCCCTCCTTCTCTCCTCTCAGGAACATGGCTTTAGCACTGCTATCAGATCCATCTAATGAGGAGGTAGCTTCCCTCTGAAGATCCACAGGCGCATGCACGTCCAGTCCCTCTCCACACACACACACACACACACACACACACACACACACACATACACACGCGCTGAATAACAGGCTACGATTTGCATCTAGGCCAAGGCTGCACCATTGTCAGAGCCGTCCCAGGAGTGCGGCGCTGCTTTTATTCCTCCCGTTCACAATAAGCATTATGCAGCCGCAATCATTCACGGCGGATCCAGAACTGTTGAGGTGAAACGCAAACGTCTGAGGCTAAACGCGCTGAGAAACCAGGCTCAATAGCTGGAAACGCTGACCTTTTGCCTGGATTTAAGGAAAGCGAAAGGTTTAAGATAGCAAATGAAGTCAAACTCAACGTTTTGCATAAACTTCTGTTGTCGGCAAAACAGTCGAATGAAAGAGAAATGTGCCAAAATTTGCTTTGAATTGTAAACTTTGTGCATTAGGACGCAGTAAAACAATGTCGTTCAGTCTTTAGCGGCTCTTTCAATTTGGTGCATTCGCAGGTTTTTTGGCACCACGACTTAAAATGTAGATCATGTGAGTGTGAGTGTGTAAAAGCAGACGTTTGCTCAGTTTGCTGCTCTGCAGCTTTTCAGGTGTTTTAGCACAAAGTCTAGGAGGAAAGACACCAGAAGGACCGTCAGTCTGAAGGTTTAAAAACATTTAAAAATATCTGGAGTCCATCGGTCTGCAGAGAGGAAGATGTTTGCCAGCTGGAAAACATCCCCAAGAGCTCAGCCCAAAGTCAGAGACACAGAAACTCCATCTAGGACTCAGCTAGCAGCTCAGAGGTCAAAGGTCAGGGCAGATTGAGCCAGTTTATTTGTTTGTTTGGGCTGCAGGAGGAAACAGAAGCTGGCAGCTTGTCTCAGGTCTGAACAGAGAGCAGAGTGGAGGCGTCTGCTCAGAGTCCCAGAAAGCAAACGGCTCAGAGCAGCTGGAAGCACGGCGGGGGAGACGTCATGGTCTGGGCTGGCATCAGGACCTCCAGCAGGAGCTCCTCTGGACCCCAAAGTGTTCAGATGTGCCCCAAAGATCCAAGCAAAGGGGGATATTAAGACTAATTCTTGTATTTATCAGATGGTTTGTCTGATTCACAGCAGAGTTTCCATCAGCTGCTTCGTCTCTCTTGACTTCAAACGCTCAGCGAAGCGCTCTCGATCCGTCCCTGTTGCTGCAAAGCAATGAAGAAGAACTTAGCCCTTTTTATTTAAGAGGCACATTCATACAGAGATTATTCAACATGCACAAAGAGCCTCAGCCTGAAGTTTTGGAGGACAGGGCGGTGTTGAGTGAGTGAGTTCTCCCTGAAACGACAGGATGTGCTCGCGGCCTCACATCCAGAGAGCTCTTCTTTCAACCCTCTAAGCTGAAGTATTTCTAAAGTACGAACAGCAGCGAAGTGAAAAGTGGCTTTTGTTTCCTTGGTTACGGTCACACATACAAAAGCAGGAGTCTGATGCTTTCTAAAACAGGTCTTGTCAGAAAACTCCCTCTTACAAGGCAGAGTTTTTTTTTCCACGGCGGCTCCCTCTATTTGCCTTTATATTCTCCATTCTCTGCAGATTTAGATAAGGCCATTCATGCTTCTCACCTCAGCGCTCGCTGCCTCTATTCCTGCCCGAGTCTCAGCTCCCTTTCATATCTGCAGCTCTTTTGGGACGCAACAGTCAAGACGGAAACTGCTTCCACACAAAGACGCGACAATATTACCGACTTATCTAAGCAGAGGGGCTTCAAGCAAAAAAAAAAAGAGGGTCCTTTGCTTTTTTAAGCACAACAGGAAGCTTCTAAGTAGAAAAAGGGGGTGATTATAGATTAATGGGACAGCAATGGCACGCCAGCTCGACATGGAACACTTTTTTAAAAACACATATTTAAGGCTCAACTCTTGTTTGAATGCTGCTGTTGCAAAATATAGATCAAGAATTGCACAAGTGAAAGATGGAGCGGATTTTTCTGCTCAGCGAGCTGAAGGGAATCCGCACGCTGCCGCTCTGATGAAGGCCGCCGCCGCCGAGCCCCGCCGCTTTTCACATGAAAGCTTTGGCATCCTCAGAATAGCTGAGCTCCTTCAGTTCCAAACTGGAGCCTGCGACAGGCTTTAGATTCGTTGTTTTTCCTCACGTCTTGTAATATCTAAACCTTTGACAGAGTAATGGTGCTGCTCTCCGGGGTTCCGACAAACGGTGAGTTAGACATTTTATCTGCAGTTAGTTCCTGCTTTTTTTATCGTTAAGTTTAACGAGAAAGTCATCGGCCTTCGCAAATGACATGAACTGCTGGAGTTCTTATGGGTTTTGGGCGGGATTGGTCCCAAAAAAGGGATAAATGAGCTGTGAACGGAGCGCATGTGCTGAGGTGGACGAGCTGGTTTAACAGAGCAGGACAGGACTTTTGTTTGGGGGGCCGGAGGACAAAAAAAGAGAGAGGATGCACAGGATAAAGGTGCATGAGTTCAAACACTTGGGCTCAAATCTTTAGAGCCGAGTTCAGGGAGGATGGACGGGACAAAAGAGATGGCCGGTCTGATGAAAAGACAGGACCTGGAGATTGAGTTTAAAATGCTCCGATTGGGACTCAGAGCATCCAGTTAACAGCCCAACTTAAACGGTTTGGATGCAAAGGGGGGAAACAGGGAGATGAAAGACAAATTCATGGATTAACCAACAGAGGAAATGGGCTCAGAGGACAAGAGTTCTCATTGGATAATGACATGTGTGCAGAAATGTATTTACATTTATGCATTGATGCTACATGCTAGCAGAGAGTTTAACATCCAGCTAGAACACAGATTCCACAGCTAGCATCCACTGATGCTACATGCTAACAGGAAATAAGAGACTTTAGACTTTAGTCTATCTATCTATCTATCTATCTATCTATCTATCTATCTATCTATCTATCTATCTATCTATCTATCTATCTATCTATCTATCTATCTATCTATCTGTTATAATGCCTTTATAACTGAGCTGCAGACCTCCCTGCATGCAGCTGTTTCCTCTACAAAACATCTGCATTTGATGGGAGGGCAGGAATCAGCCTCCCTGACTCCAGTGAAGCTCCCTAAAATAGACGGATGAGGCAGACAGAACTCTTCTCTGTGCTTAAACTCTTTCCTTTTGGTGTCTGAAATCACTGCAAAGAGGGAAATTCAGACTTCACAAGGCTGTCACTTTGTCTGGGAGCCGTCTAGGTTTCAGCTTCTGTCACATTAACAATTCAAAGCAAGTCAGACTCAACAAACGAGCAGCCGAATGCAGAAACAAGTCCTTGGTTTGGTTCAGGTGCAAACCGCGCTAAATGCTGCAGATACATGAAGCTAAAGCCTTAGAGTTGGACAGAAATGGTTAAACTGTGATAGTTTAAAGGAAATCCCCCTTCTAGTGAAGCACTCCTGGAGCAGGCTGCAGTTTTCTGGGAGTTGTTTTCCACATCTATTAAGCTAAAGAAAACCTAAAACAGCTTCTCCCTGATTAGTTCAGACTCTGAGGGTTGAAAGGAAGATACCAGAAGATTCTTTGGCTGGAAACAGAAGTCTTTTGAATGCAGGCAGCTTCTGCTCACAGCGGAGTCATCGAACCTCCCCAAAAACCGATTGAAGATCTAAAAGGATTCTCATCACAGCTGGGATGAGATCACACGCAGGCTGTTCAGATTACTTCCTTCAGTTATTTTTCTAACGGCTTAAAAAGTATTTGTATTTGTATTAGATTTAATGTGAAGACGCCATTTTTTGGGATAAAAAGACCATTGATCAGTTGCTTACCAGGAAACTTTCAATCTAAATTTCCCAAAAGCTGTAATCAAATCGTGTTGATTCTATATTTATTGTCGCATGCTATGTGACCATCAACTAGCTGTCATCAAATGTGCGTGAGACAGCATCTGCAAAGGAAAGCTGTGCAGGAGCCTTTTGATCAGAGATGGAGAACGGAAAGGTTCGGATATGTTGTGTCACAGTTTCTGAGCATGGAAGAAGACTCCAGATGTGGAGAACCAAGATAACTGAGGCTATTAATGCAGAAAAAGGTGAGAGAGAGGGAGGGCGAGAGAGGGCGAGAGAGGCAGCCTCCACAGTAACAGATTCAGACAGTAAAGGTGGTGTTGCTCCCACCCACAGATCCAGACTCCACAGCTCCAGGAGGAGAGAGGAGGAAAGGGAGGAAGTCCGGTCTGTGACATGCCGGCTCATTGGCGGGGGGGGGCGGCGGCCGGTTGACCGGTGGCCGGTTTGAACACGGCAGCAAAGCGGAGCTTTCCGGGCGTCAGCAGCAGAACAGACGTTTTCTCTGGAGGTTTTATTACTCTGAGAGCAGCTGCTCGTCTGTCAGAGTCCTCACCGAGTTTCTGCTGCGTCTGCAGCCGAGAAAAGACAAACAGAAACACACACACACACACACACACACACACACAGAAACACACACAGGAACACACACAAACAGAAACACTGAAATACACACAGACACACTCCAGACACACACACAGACACACACGCTGCCGACCTCAAAACAAAGAGCAGAAAACTACTCAGCAGCATGAGGTGGCTCGTCCTCTCTGACCTCTGACCCCTCTGACGTCAGCTGCCCCTCCCATGTGACTCACCCTCCTGGTCTCTGCAGAGGTTGAGAGAAACCGAGCACTTTTCCACATCTGGGACATGACACAGACCAAAATCCAGCTCTTCTTCTGTTAATGGAGGTGCAAACACGACTGAATGTCTCCTGCTGAGATCAGGAACAGAAAAACACGATGAGCCACAAACTGCAGACAAAATGACCCGAAAAACTAGCATGAAAAACAATTAAAAGTGTCATTAAAGGAAGTGGATTGAAAAAAAAAACAAGGTTAAGCTTTAACTGAGCTTTGTTTCTTTTTTTTAAATGACAGATTTCCATCCGATTCACATGATTTTAGGAAGTTTGGGGCAGCTGAGAGGGCCGTGAAATTCAACACGACGAGATCAGATCCGACCTGGTTGCATTTTTATTAACGATTGCGGATTCTTAAAGTAGTTTTACTTTTCACATTTGATGAAATATTGAGATTTGTGTGTCTTTTTATGGCAACAGTCTCATTTAAATCAGCCTCAAACTGATTTAAAATGCATTTTAAACTTATTTAAAATGCATTTTAAGTCTCCAGAATCAAAACTCTGAGCACATTCATGCGTTTCCACTTTCTCCTAAAGCGTCCCCGCTCTCTTCCTCTCATTAACTCTTCGCAGGGGCCCTTTATTGAACCCATTTGTGATGAGAGGGAGAAGCAGCAGCTAATTGCCCTCAGCTGGCTGCAGCTTCATGGGGTCTCTGGGTTTCTTTTCCCTGCTGCATCTGGCTGAAAGCAGAAAAGACTCCAACGCCTCTCCGTCCGACTCGGTTTGACTTTTGCTCCCAAAACAGCAGCGATCAGCGGCCGGTCTCTGGGCACCGGACAGCAGGAGTCAAGGAGCAAACAGACAGATGGAGGTTGATCAGTGGTCCCCACGGGGGGGGGGGGGGGGACCCACAGGGGAGGTAGAAAGTTGATTTCCACAAACAAAATGAACACTAAAAACGATTAGAAATAACATATGTTTGCCATGTTTGTAACACAAGATAAAACTAGTGGCTGAAATCAAAATAAAACCAACCTGTCCAGCGACTGAACCCTGAAGACCGCGTTTAGTTCTGAGACGCTGGCTGAGTTTATGGTTTAGGGGGAACAGCCACAGCTATCCAGGGTTTGGATGTGCCGATGCTGTGTGGCTCTACCTGCTAGTGTGAAAAGACTTTCTCGGTACTGATGGACGTCTCTAACATTAAACCCAGACTGGACTTGCTGTGCTCCAAGCATTGTAATGTAAAGAAACAAAAATAATGCACATTTTAGTGTACAAAACTGTAAATATAGCAGATATTAGTGTAAAAACTGTAAATTATGTACATTTTTGTAAAAAAACAGTAAATATTTCCCAATATAGTGTTAAAAACTGTCAATATTGCACATTATAGTGTAAAAAACTGTAAATAATGTCCATTATAGGGTACAAAACTTTAAATAATGTACACTATCCAAAATCACATTTTTACTATAAACTGAAATGCAAAAAAAAGAAAAAGGAAATATTCTACATTTAAGTTTTTTTAAGCAAAGTTTTGACTAAATGAGGGTGCAACAGGCGTAAGAAATGTGTGTTTAAATGTGGATCCAGGATCCAGAGCTGAACTGGGCTCTCACCCCCCCCCCCCCGGGGCCTCCTCCTCTCCTCTCCTCTGTGTCCGCAGGTCTTGGGACCAGTTCCACGACTGTGCCAACGTGGCCATGGCGGGCTGCCCGCAGGAGGCGGCGGCCGTGTGGGAGTCGCTGCGCCAGGAGTCCAAGAAGATGCAGTTCTCCGGGAACCTCTACGACATGTGCTCCAACCGGGACGGCCTCCCCCCGGCGGATTCCGCGGTTCCCCGCGGCTCCCCGGGCAAAGAGGAGGTCAGCCAGGAGTCTCTGCGGGGGGGCGCGGCCGGGCGGGGGGGCGGCCCCGGCCTCCTGGGGCTGCTGCTGACCGCGGCGCTGCTGCTAATGTGGCTGTAACTGCCCACAGCAGCCGGACCCTGTAAATACATGTAACCCTGTGTTTTACGCCCCCCCCCCCCACCGGCCGTAGACTCTCCACCGCTTCTCCCCTGCGCTCCACCAGAGGTGGAACTTCTTCTAGCTGCATGCTCAGAGGCCCCACTCTTGTTTTGATGACGTTACGCTAAACCGCTGCTCCATTTCGTGCACATTTTCTGCTTTTTTGTTAGTTTTTTTCTGTTGCAAACTCAAAATTCAAACATGGACGCGAAACTTCTGTGCAAACAAGCCCGCAGACGCTTTAGTTTGGGTGGATGCAGGAGCCCCGTTTCCATCCGCCTTCATGCTTTGTTCGTGTAAATCTAGTTATTAGAAGCTTGCATGAGGTGGTTCAGAGGGGGGCTCCATCTTCCTGACTGTAATACGGAGGTGTAAAAGAGGCCGGCTGAGTTCTGTCCGCTCACAGGAGGCCCGACACGCTGTGCAGCTTCCACTCACATTTCCCCCAAACTTTCGGCTCTCCGAACCTGTGCAAAGTGTCGTCTTTTCAACCAAGCTTTCAAAAGCCTGCACAAAAACAGCCAATGAGCACCTTCCCCCTCAGCTTTTGTGTTCAGACTAAAGGTTTTAGACGTGGCGCTGATTTCTGAAAACGTAAAAGCTGCAGATTTGGTGTATGAATGAGAAAACGGTGGATTTTTGTGCGCAGATTTGAAGTTTTTGTTGCATTTTTTTCCCCAGCCGTGAACATTTAAATCTCGTTTCAAATCAGCTTTTTCTCATTTTGCTCTCGTCAACATCCTCATTTAAACCTCAGCCTTTAATGCAAACCTTTATGAAACCAGGATGAATTAAAAAAGCCAAATTTGGGACCTCACAGATGGGCCTTGACGCTATTTTTTTGTGTAGTTCAGTCACAGTTCTGCAGTTTTTTTGCATCCGAGTAGCTCCTCAATCTTTTTGTTTGCAACTTCTGAATTAAACACCTGCGAAACTGGTGATAACCTTCAATTTTAAAGGTTTCACGAAGACTGAAGAAGGTTTTCTGATCCGTTTCAAGGCTGAAAACCAAATAAAAGTCTATATTGTGCTGTGAAGGATGGGAGCTCACATTTTCCTTGAGTTAGACGAGATTAAAAAGGAGGACTAGATTAGTTTGGATCAGAAAATGACTCGGGAGGTTTGTTAAGAGTCACTTTAGCCAATATTTTAAGGTTTTTCTCTCACAGCTAACCCATCTGTGTTTCAGCTTCATTACTATTAGCTGTGTGCATTATCAGAGGGATTTTTTAGTCTTTTAAAGTTTACTGAGAAAAAGGAAGACTCCTGACAATTTAATTTGGCTTCTAACTTTACCGAATCTCAAACACTGAACCAACAAACCCAAAAATGAGCCCTTCTTGAAGCTAACCAAGTTGATTAATGATGGTTTTCCGTGACATACTGTGGTAAAGCTGACTTTAATAATTTCCTCAAACCTCTTTCAAAGTGTAGCAACCGCTATTTATACCTCTAAACTTTTCCTTTTTTAAAATGGTTTGGACAAAAAGATGAATTCATCCAACAATGTAAACAAACACAGAAGGTTAGTTGTCTCTGTGTCACCCCAGAATCACAAGCTCTGTGATATGAAGAGCCAATCGCAGTTAGATTTAGATGCAGACAGAGAATACACAGTCAAAAGGAAGTGAAGTTATCCACATCTTCAGCTGTAGCTCGACTTGTTTCTGAGGGTTCAGTAATAAGGAACAGACAGCCCCTAAAACCCCTGACGTTGGAGCTAACTGCGAGGTTTGTGTGGATGATAACAGGTTGGAAAATCCTTTTACTCTTCTCATGAATCGGAAAACCGAGTCTCGTTTAGGATTCCTGCCGCACTGCAGCACAGTGAACAGGAACTGCCCCTAATTAGGGAATTACAGTAAAAAGAAAAATGTCAAGAGCTGCAAAAAGCACAAAAAACATCTTTCCTCCAACTGAGCCAAACAGGGTTAATTGTTCTTAAAGTTGCTTAAAGTCTGTGAAGGTTCAGACGTTAAGCACTCCAAACTGTCTGTGTGTGCGCATGTCGACCTGAAAGCGCTTTAGATGATTAATCTTCTTCTAAAAATCCTCAGAATTGGGAACCTGAAGGCCATTAGCTTAATTAGTTCATACTTAACTTTTGCTGTCAAACTGTAGGACCTAAACAGCCTCAAAAGCCACGATCTCAGTAACAAACCTGATAATATTGCTGCTTTTGGTTTGCATTTAGTAGAAATAAAGTGGTGAAAATGGTAAAAATGTGGATGCTCGCTTGTTTTTCGCCTGTTTTCTGGTGGCTTTATGCACATTAGGGGGAAAGAAAGTGGCTTTGTGGGTCCCATCTGACCCGGGAAAGTTTTAAAAGTTGTTCCTCAGCAGTTATTCTATTCTCACATGTCCCATTGGTGTATATTTAGAGAGATTCCTGCAGAAGAGCTCTTTCTGTTTTTCTCTTGTGAATATTGTTGGTGTTTTCCTCTAACATCCTGTTAACCACCCGCTTTTAAACCTCTGTCAGTGGCTCAAGTCGGCCATATCATAGAGTAGAAACATAAACATGTCTTAAAGTGAGAGTTTTGACTAATGCTTTTATCATATTATTACTCAAAGGATTAAAGAAGTGCATGGAGATGGTTTTCCTGAATTTAAACCATCCTTTGGTGACACTCTCAGGCATTTTTACTTTACAGCGGTCAGTGGAAACCTGTTAGATTCACAGCTCTTTTTCAAAAGTCAGCTCAGATTTTCTTTACAAAGAGAAAAAAAAATCTCTTAAGTATTAGGATGTGGGTTTTCCTCCAATGATCTGGGACTATTCATGGATCACAGCATTGAAATCCTTCTCAGAAATGGAGTTACTTTGCGGACGCTGCACCAACAGGAGCTCTGATTTGTGGGTCAGATCGTGCCTCAGTTGTTTTGATCTGTTAGGTCCAGGCGTCTGCATCCTGATTTTTAACCCTGCAGTCGGGAACAAACCGATAGCTTCTCCGCTCACATGTCCGGTGGATTTCACGCTCCAGGTGTGATCAGGTAGTTTCAGGTCTGCGGAAGCTGCTCGTTATTCCAGTCAAACGCTGGGATCGACTGTCTACCACCGAGGGCTGGAAATGATGTTAGATGGGAGGAACACAGAAAAAGATGGAAAGCAAAACAAAAATCCTCTGTATTCGGGGACTCGGGGGTTAAAGGAGTTGTCTTTCTGGAGCTTTGTCACCGTGGGGTGTTGTGGTTGTTCGGCTTAACGCTGCAGGAAAACAGGAATTCACCACCATCCCCACCACTGTTTTTAATAATAAAACAGAACAGAAAGAGGAACACGGGCTGCACAGTGAGGCGACACAGGATTAAACCCATTCAATTCACAAAGGAAGAATTACTTATGCATTTTTTAATCTGAAATAAGACATTGAGGCTCGGCTCGACCTCTTATCTTACGCTATCATGTGTGTAAGTGCTCACTGAAAAGAAACAAATAAAAACTGTTACAGAATCCAAATAGATGACTTCAATACCCAGAAAGAGCCAGGTTACTATTTTAGGTCAATTATATATATGTATAAGGAAATTGACCCAGAGATATGCTCGGTTGGTTTAAGGAGGCTGCTGTGGCTTGAACTTTAATTAAACTGACAGAATAAGCAATTAGAAGCCTCGATGGCTGAATCACCAAGGAGCAGCAATCTGAAAGCTCTCTAAAGAGCTCGGAGGAGATGTTGTGACTGGAGGCTGGATCAGAGTAAAACACGGCCCGCTGCACACAGTCTGCGCTGGGCGCAGCGTGCTCAATCATCATAAACCAGCTTTGTTTTATGGGAATACGGCGGCTCGGACGAGTTTTCCGGCTCTGAGCTGCTCTAAAACACTCAGAAAACTCGTGAAATCTCTGATGTGAGAGGTTATGCAGTTTGGACAAATCTCATTTTAGTTGGCTCTGAGTGACGCTGCGGTGTAAACCTAACACTGTTGGCCAGAGGAGAGTGGGCTGTTATTCCCCAGTTATTTTTCTAAAGGCTGCACGCATCCTCGGCGTGCTGACAAAAGGCTCAAATTGGACAGGAAGGATGGCAGGATGTGGATCTTTAACCCAATACAGCAGCGTCCCATCAGAGGGGAGGACGCTCTGTGTTATTACTGTGGGAAAAAAAGGCCACGGCAGCATAAAACAGAGTTATTCATTCCTTTTTTTCTGCAACACCTGTATAAATTCATTCTCATCTGAGAGGGCTGAAGATGTCAGGGCTCAGACAAACAGAGTCCTGAGCATAAAGGAAAATTACGCAGAATTCAAGTCATTTTTTTGGGCATCTTTAGCTATTATGCCTCAGGCTTTCCAGGAGTCTTGAAGAAGTTTTTTCCCCAAGCCAATTAAGTCCGAGCCATGAATAACTCAAACTAAAAAAGCCTCATAATTCAAGGGATGAACCAGTGTTGCGTCTACCCAGAGCAGACAACACAAAGAAGGAGATGGTGCCCATCGCTGCAATTTGGCCTCAAATTTCAAACACTGGGAGTAAAATTGTGTCTTTTAAGCTCTTTATTATAGTTTTGTACTGTAATCATTAAGAGTCACTTCATTCATTTTTTTTAAGCTTATCAACCTAAAAACCCACCCACACAACACTTAGTCTTTTTCTTAATTTCACATAGTATAAGTTAAATAGATTTGGTTCTTCAGATGTTATTATGTGAGCTTAAAGACAGAAGTTTGGATTCTCTGACTCAGTCAGGTGAAGCTGTTTCCAAACAACAGGAAAGAGAAACAAAACCCAAATAGTTTCACAGTGTTCTGAAACACAACACACTTTTAATCCTGTCTTTCTCTTTTTTGTGAGATAACTGAATAAGTGGCTTGGAGCCGTGTTTCCCAGCCCCCCCCCCCCCCCCCCCCCCCGCCCCACACACACACACTCTTTACAAACCGCTGTGCTGGAGCAGGAAACATGGAAAACATGCAGGGCAGTGCACCAGACAGCCATTAGACCCAGCCATTA